GTTGCTGTGAGCTAGGCTGACGCCATGGCACTCTAGCCTGGGCAACAAAGTGAAACTCTGTTTCAAAAAGAAAAAAAAAAAAGAAAAAAAGATTCTTCCCACAAATCGAGATATTTTGGAGGCTCATTATAGAATTTCAAAACTAAATCTTGTGCAGTATTTGATTTTGATCATTCCCTCCCTTGCTCTTTTACAATACATTTTATAATAATACTTCTCTGCACACAAACTTGCTTTCTTTTTTTTGAGACACAGTCTTGCTCTGTTGCCCGGGCTAGAGTGCCGTGGCGTCAGCCTAGCTCACAGCAACCTCAAACTCCTGGGCTCAAGCCTTCTGTCTCAGCCTCCCAAGTAGCTGGGACTACAGGCATGCACCATGACACCCGGCTACTTTTTCTATTTCTAGTTGCCTGCTAAATTTTTTTTCTATTTTTGATAGAGACTGGGTCTCACTCTTGCTCAGGCTGGTCTCAAACTCCTGACCTCAAGCAGTCTTCCTTCCTTGATCTCCCAGAGTTCTAGGATTACAGGCATGAGCAAACTTTGTTTCCAATAATTATAATATGCTAAAATCTTTAAAAGCTGATGTTTTGGTGTTCTATTTCTTGACTGACTTGACCAGAGATTTACAGTTTATTTGGAACAAAATTCAACAAAAATTTCGAGATCTGTTTTACCAGCAGACCTGTTTGCCCAACACTTTAGGGCACTGAGCCTCGATGGCCTCTAAAATCGATTTGTAATGGAAAGCAAAAGAAAAAAATATGCTAAAGTTCAGTTTTTTAAAAAATTTGTCATCAACTTCATCACAAAAGGTTTGTAATTTAGTAATTATGTGCATATGTTTTAAAAGTTTATAAACTTTGTCAAATAGGACACCTATTTCAATTGGTAGAATATTAAAGCTTATTTATATGCATTGTGTATTAATATAATTTATATTATTATAATATAATATTGTATATCATATAATATTATTATATTATATTTATACAATTTATATTTATAATCAATATAAATTTTTTTTGTTTGAGACAGAGTGTCGCTTTGTTGCCAGGCTACAGTGAGTGCCGTGGCGTCAGCCTAACTCACAGCAACCTCAAACTCCTGGGCTCAAGCAATCCTCCTGCCTCAGCCTCCCGAGTAGCTGGGACTACAGGCATGCGCCACCATACCCGGCCAATTTTTTCTATATATATGTTAGTTGGCCAATTAATTTCTTTCTATTTATAGTAGAGACGGGGTCTCGCTCTTTCTCGGGCTTGTTTCGAACTCCTGACCTCGAGCGACCCGCCCGCCTCGGCCTCCCGGAGTGCTAGGATTACAGGCGTGAGCCACTGCGCCCGGCCCTAATTAATATATATTGTGCCTCAGCCACAACTTGTTCCAATCACACTTCCTGTTCCACTGGTCTCTTAATTTAGTAAGAATCCTGTTGTTACCATGACACTGTGGCCCACCAAAATTTCAATGTATGTTATCCTCACAAATATGCAGTAACATTATTTCCAAAAACTTTACGAAACATTTAAACTTAATTTAGAATAGCATCCAAAGAAAGTCAGTTGTTTCACTTTGCCAGAACGAACTTCCAAAAGCTCTGCTTTGATTCCATGAATTGCATAAAAGAATTGAATTAGAATTCACTGGTTTTCGGTTTGAAGACCAGAGTATACTGATAGTAAACGGGCACCGTTTTGCTGTCTGTGAAGTTCTTCTTATGCAGCCAACGCGTCACCGGCCATCACTCCCGCCGCTGTATGTATGACAAGCTGGAGCTAAACAGCTGAATTGACTTAAAGAGCAGGCATGGGATCTAAGTGAAAGCTCACGAGAAATCCATCGCAGCACCTTCTGCAGCTGCGTGTGTGAAACCTGCGTCTCAGAGCGCAATCTTCTTAAAATCACTAACTTCTAGACTGGCAGCGTCGAGTCCCCGGTTTTCCTGTGCTCGGTGAAATCGCCACAGCCCCCGTGGTGATGTAAAAGTCAACAGACATTCCGTGCAAGTCACACTATCACCGCCAACTTCCTTGAGAAACACAAGTTCAGTACTTGCATTTTCATTAAACATTTGGCTTTTTAGCTCATCGCTGCCAGAAGGGTTCATCGCAAATTTTAGAAGTATTGACCAATAATAAAATAAACATACAGTTGCGAATTTATGCCCTGCAAAGAATGACAAAGCCACTGCAGCGAGAGCATCCAGCCCCCTCCACACGCTCTGGGCATTTCACAGCCACCAAACCGTAATTCCCCGAGTTTTCCGCTGATCTGTCAACGGGCAGCTAGACCGCTTACTCTTTTTGCTGTCTGCTCTCTGCCTCGGTGACTTCCTCCAGCTGGTGACTTTAAATTCCTCTGTGTGATTACGGCTCCCAATGATGCCTCATGGGCTCAGACCTTGTCCCCGAACACCAGACTTGAGTATCTAATTGCCCGCTGGCCATCCCAGCTTCACGCCCAGTGGATGTTGGGACCTTCACAAGTCCAGAACTGAACTCCTGATCTTCCCCCCAAAATCCTGCCCCATCTTCCGTCTGTCATCTCCATTTCTCTTTTTTATCTTTTTCTTTTTTTTTTTTTTTTGAGACAGAGTCACACTCTGTTGCCCCGGCTAGAGTGCCGTGGCACCAGCCTAGCTCACAGCAACCTCAAACTCCTGGGCTCAGGCGATCCTCCTGCCTCAGCCTCCCAGGTAGCTGGGACTACAGGCATGCGCCACCATGCCCGGCTAATTTTTTCTATATATTTTTAGCTGGCCAATTAATTTCTTTCTATTTTTAGTAGAGACGGGGTCTTGCTCTTGCTCAGGCTGGTTTTGAACTCCTGACCTTGAGCAATCCACCCGCCTCAGCCTCCCAGAGTGTTAGGATTACAGATGTGAGCCACTTCCATTTCTCTTGATGACAACTTCATACTCCCAGATGCCCAGGCAAAAAACCTTGACACTCATGGTGGTACTACCTTCAAAATATATCTAGGACCTGACGCCTTCTCAGCACCTCCACTGCTACCAGCCCCCTGCCAGCGCCGGCCAACATGATTATTTAGTATGTTTATTATTTATCGACTCTCTCCTCCCACCAGGCTATAAGCACGGTGAGGGCAGGGATTTTTACCGGCTCTATTCCCAGCCATGTCCCAAATACCTAGAACAGTGCCTGGCACCTAGTAGGTGCTCAGCAAATACTTTTTCTGTGGCTAAATGCCTGGAGCAACCAGTAAATTATACTCCAGTGTGAATGACTCAGGGTGAGTGATATGACAATGTCACAGCTGGAGGGGCCTCTTGATGTCATCATGTCCTCCCTAGATGAGGAAAGGCTCAGAGACATGAAGTGACTCGCCCAAGGTCACACAGCCAAATAGACTCTTCCGAGATTAATTTTGTCGTATATGATATCTTTTGTTAGAATCTGTGGGGCTTTGCCCAGCTGAAGGAATAATAGCAATGGTGATAATGACAGTTAACGTTTGCCCAGCACTGACGACGCATCAGGAATACTGCTAAGCACTTGCATATATTAACTCATCCAGGTTGGGGAAGGATTTTTAGGTGCTTGGCTTGTCTGGAGCCCCAGAAATGCCACAGTGTAGGCAGCTGCTCGCTCCGTGTATCGGACTTTGTGGGTCCCCTGCTTTGCTGGCAGGACCCCCCAAATCCACGAGTACGCCACGTGATCTAGCCCTTGTGGGACCGTGGACGGCTGGGAGGCGTGGTCTGCCCTAGGGAAGGGGCAGAGTTTCTTCGCCACCCCCATCTCTCTCCCCCTGAAACTCAGCACGGGCTGGTGGGAGGCGAGTCAGCGTGTGTGGCCGTGAGCGCGGCCCATGGGGTCTGCAGCTGAGGTCCACAGCCCAGCACGCCACTCCCCAGCTGGGTCTCCTCGGACAAGCTGGGCGACTCCTCTGAGCCTGGCCCACTCACCTGCCGGGTGGGGACATTCGTGCAGCAGAACCCAGGGCACAGACTTTCCAACCAGGCTGCCCGGGTTTGAATCCAGGCTGAACCCTGGACCAGCTCTGTGACCCCGAACAAGTGACTCGGGCCCTAGCACTCGATTTTCTGATCAGCCACCTGGAGACAATAACGGCCCCCACCTCCCAGGGTGCTAGGAAGATTAAATGAGAAAATGCTTAAATGTGAAACACTTAGAATGGTGTCTGGGACAGAGAGAGCATTTAATAAATGTTAGTTGTTATTCTTATGGTTTTATTAGTCATAGTTTTGAAGCCCAGCGGAAGAATCCTCTCATTCTGGGAACCTTGCACCGTTGCCCCCACCCTGTCCACACCACTGGGTCCCCGTGCCAGCAATCAGCTCCCCGCTGGCTGTCCCCTTCCTAGGCTCTGATTCTGTCTCAGGTCACAACCACTGTCTCCCTGTCCACGTCCCCTCTGGACGGCGAGCACTGGGAGGTCGAGGCTGCTCTGGCCTGTGTATCTCCAGCGCCTGGCAAAGTGCCAGCACAAAGTAGGTGCTCACTAAACGTCTGTTACACTGTCAATAGTAACGCGTGTACGGTTGTCAATAAGACTAATGGTCGCCTTCCGTGTGGCGTTTCCTCTACACCAGGCACCGTGCTAAGCATCCCATAGTACTATCGCCAGCCCGCACCACAGTCCCACAAGACGGATACGATTCACTCTAATTTTTTAAAATGAAAGTAAAAGTCAATGGATCTAAGCTGTTCACACCAAGTGGTTGTACCAGGATTTTCGGACTCAGGGCCCTTCCTTGAAACCAGAGATCAACAAACTTTTCCTCGAAAGGAACAAATAGCAAATATTTCCAGTTTTGCAGACCAGAGAGTCTCTGTGGTGAGCACTGAGCTCGGCCACTGTAGCACCAAAGCAGCCACAGACCGTATGTAAATGAATGGGCGTTATCTGTGTGCCAATAAAACTTTATCGTCCCCAAATGGGCGGCATGCTGGTCTGGCCCATGGGCGTTAGTTTGCTGCCTCCTATTTTATTCTACGTGCCGTTCATTTCAGGTCACTGTGGATGGCATCTTGGACCGCCCTAGAGCTCCAGTCCTCGAACCAGAGCCAGCTCCCCGCTCCCAATGCCACGTCCTGTGACAATGCCCCGGAAGCCTGGGACCTGCTGCACAGAGTGCTGCCCGTATTCATCATCACCATCTGCTCCTTCGGCCTCCTGGGAAACCTTTTTGTCCTGTCCGTCTTCCTCCTGTCCCGGCGGCGACTGAACGTGGCCGAAATCTACCTGGCCAACCTGGCGGCTTCCGACCTGGTATTTGTCTTGGGCTTGCCCTTCTGGGCAGAGAACATCTGGAACGAATTCAACTGGCCTTTCGGAGCGCTCCTCTGCCGTGTGGTCAACGGGGTCATCAAGGCCAATTTGTTCATCAGCATCTTCCTGGTGGTGGCCATCAGCCAGGACCGCTACCACGCCCTGGTGCACCCCATGGCCAGCCGGAGGTGGCGGCGGCGGAGGCAGGCCCAGGCCACCTGCGTGCTCATCTGGGCCGTGGGGGGCCTCCTGAGTGTCCCCACATTCCTGCTGCGGTCCGTCAAGGCCGTCCCAGACCTGAACGTCTCCGCCTGCGTGCTGCACTTCCCCCACGAGGCCTGGCACTTTGCCAGGATCGTGGAGCTGAACGTGCTGGGTTTCCTCCTGCCCCTGGCTGCCATCGTCTTCTTCAACTGCCACATCCTGGCCAGCCTGCGAGGGCGGGAGGAGGTGGGCAGGACCCGGTGCGGGGTCCCTAAGGACGGCAAGACCACGGCCCTGATCCTCACGCTCGTGGCTACCTTCCTGGTCTGCTGGGCCCCCTACCACTTCTTTGCCTTCCTGGAATTCCTGTTCCAGGTGCGAGCCCTCGGAGGCTGCTTCTGGGAGGAGTTCATCGACCTGGGCCTGCAACTGGCCAACTTCTTCGCTTTCACCAACAGCTGCCTGAACCCAGTGATTTACGTCTTCGTGGGCCGGCTCTTCAGGACCAAGGTCGGGGAACTTTACAAACAATGCACCCCTAGAAGTCTCGCTCCAATGTCCTCGTCCCATAGGAAAGAAACCCTCCAGCGTTTCTGGCGCACCTAAGACAGCAGTGAACCAAGAAGCCTGGCTTTCTTCTTGATTATTTATGACATAATAAGTGCAATTTGGGGGGCTGAATAAACACCCCCAGAGATATCCCCGCAACTTGTGAATGTTACCATATATGGTAAAGGGATTTTGCTGATATCATTAAACTAAGGGTCTTGGGATGGTCCTGAATTATCTGGGCCCAATATAATCACTAGGGTCCTTAGAGTTAGAGATGGGACCATGGATGCAGCAGCCAGAGTGATGGACGCAGGGGGTGGGCCGGGGGAGGGGCCCTGAGCTGGGGTTGCAGGCGCCCTCTAGAGGCCGGAAAGGGCAACAAAATGGGTTCTCCCCGAGCCCCCAGAAGGAACCAGCCCTGCCAACCCCTGTTTGGAGCTGGCCTCCAGCACTGTAAGAGAATACATTCGTGTTGTTTTGAGCTATCGAGTTTGTGGTCATTTGTCGCAGTTGCAATAGGAAACTAATACAAGCATCCAGTAAGGGTCTCTTATTACATTTCCTCTTGTCCATGCAAAGCTTTCTAGGCTAATTGCGAGGAACACAGAGATGCTATAGCTAGAGATTCTACCCACAGGAACTTGCATGGATCTAAATACTATGACATAAAAAAGAAAATGAGGAATGGCACAAGCACGCTACATGTGCAGCGTCTTGAGCATCCAGAGGAAACGGAGAAGCGGGGGGGGGGGGGGGGTCAGCTGGGAGCTGGGCTCCAGCCGAGGGTGGAATCTGGATTCGTGGAGACATCGAGGAAGGGCTGGAGGGGGCAGAGCCAGAACACAGGGGTGGGAACCGTGGGCTGCTCAGGAAAGAACACTCGTGAGTATTCTCGGGGAACAGGCAATGCTCGGGCGTGCTTCTTGCTACCAGAGCCCCCGTGGTGAGCCCCATAACGTCTCTGGCTTCCAGGGGCTCATGCCAACGTGGACAGAAACTAGGAGAGTGCCACAGAGCAGGGGCACCGCCACCATCAGGGGGAGGGGGCTGTGGGAACACAGAGGAGGGCTCCTGTCTGGGTGGCTGGGAGCCGAATCCCAAAGAACAAGCACTTGGCCAAGCAAACAGGGGGAAGGAGGGTTCCAGATGGGAGAAACATGCTAGGCCCAGAGGCAGGTGGGTTGGTGGGTTAGGAGGGAGAGGCCGAAGGGCGGCAGAGGACGAGGCAGGTCACGGCGGGATTTGGGCTGGAAGAGGGAGGACATGTTAGGGCTACAGTGGTTGGCGGGGGTAGAGAGAGCTCACTACAGAAGCAGGAGGGGTCCCGGGAGGCTCTGCGGGCCTAGCTGAAGTGAGAAGGCACAACTTTGTCATGTGCACTTACTCCACCAGCGCTCAGCAGGCCCGAGAACGGCGGACCGTGGATTGCTCCAGGGGGAGGTTTTGCCAGATAGAGGCCGTAGGTCCCAGGAGTTGGGGCCACTGGTCAGACTACGAGCATGGCTGGAAGGGGGAACAGTGAGCCCGGGAAGTGAGGGAAGGAGAGTGACTCCGGTATGCTAAAGGACCGTGTAGTGGGAGGACCTGGGTGACACAGCAAGAAGGGTAGGAAGTTGTGGCCACAGAGCAGGGATGTTTGAATGGAACATTCCAGAAGAAGAGCCACCCAGGAGATGACAAGGACCAGGTGTGGCCATGGAACCAGGCGGTTGAAGTCGACGGAGGAAGAAAGGGTTGGAGACAACAAAGTAAAGGGAGTGAGAGGTCAGCAGGGGTGGGCGGCCCACGGGCCCGCGGCGGGCAGGATGCTGCTGGGCCCAGGGGAGGAGGCAGCAGAGGCCAGGAGACCCCCGAGGTCTGTTTCCATGGGACGGGGGAGGGTGTGGTGACCAGACCGCAGCACACGTGGGGGGACGAGCAGCCTCCATAGTCTTGCAGGAGTGGCTGGCGCTCGCAGAACAGCGGCAAAACTCGGATTCATTTGGGAACTGGAAAGTGGGCCAGGGCTCCTGGAGCCTAGACAGGGGCTCTGAGAGGCTGGCAGGGCTGGGCCACCAGGACCTCGTCGGTGACAACCCTGTGATCAGCTCCAGCTTTTGTAGATTTCCTAGAGAGCAGTTCCGATGGCTGGGATTAGGGCCAACAAGTAGGATCAAGCCTGCATGTGTGTTTAATTTGGACCACATGATGTGTAAAACACTGCGTCTGAGTAGGTTACCCATATTGAACTTCCACATAGGAATCCAGGTTTCCAGCTGCGAACATCTGGAAGGGCTAGCAACACCCAGTCTGAGCTCACTCATTCAGCAGGTACTTATTAAGCATCTACTTTGTCAGACACGGTTGTAGGCTCTGAGGGCATGGCAGTGAACAAAAGAGAGGGCGACCCCTGGTCCCCTTGGATTGGCCATCGGGGCTCCCCCAGGGCGCTGAGCAGCAGACCCCCCCCCAGGACAGGGGACCCTCCCAGCGCATCACACACGCATGGCCAGGTGCCCCAGCTGAGAACCACGGCAGCCACTCCATGCTCATCCTCTCATTTAACCTTCCGGCCCCCGTGTGAGGTCTACTCCATGGTGTCCATTTTCCAGGCGAGGAAGAGGAGGCTGAGGAAGGCAGCATGTGCCCAGCTGGAAGGACTCAGCACCACCGTGACGTCCAGGCCCCAGGCAGGAACTCAGTGGGCAAAGACATCGCAGCAAAGCAGCGAGGACCGGCAGGACCGGGCAGGAGTAGAGAGCTGGAAAGGACAAAGGCTCCCTGCTCTCTCCTCCTGCCCCTGTGAACCGACCCACACATGCCCTCTGTGCCCCTCTCTCTGCCTGCATGAAGCTTGCGGCTTATGAAAATCCTGTCTAGGGTTCGCCACAAACAATTGCACATGCAAGAGGAATGTGCTGGCCAGTGAAATCAGACAGCGTGGCTCACAGGCTGCAGCTGAACGGTAGACTACAAACACGGTCTCTGATCAGACACCTGATTTACGGAACGCAGGTAAATGACGCTCACCAAAGCCCGGCGAACAGCCCCCCGGCGGGAGAGAGACTGGCGCAGGGAGGGAGAACTGCTGCCCTTGTGCTGGGAAAGCTAATTATTCATCTGAAGAGAGAGAAATTCCTGCCTTGGTTAAAAGACTCGATGCTGCGGGAGAAGGCAATATTTTGAATTCCTGCGGCTCTGGTTGACAGGCTAAGCTGGCACGTCCCATACCTGGGTCCAGGCTCCGGCCGCAGCTGTGGCCTTCACACCTGGGGTGCAGGGATGCGTCAGCAAATGGCCTTCCAGCACCCCTGGCTCCAGCACGCACTAAGGCTCCTACTTTCCCTCTGAGAAGGGCCAAGTAGAGAGAGATGTGGGGCTTCTTCTCCCGTCCACTCCCAGCCCCAGGCCTGCCCTGGGCTCCAAATCATGGGATCAACGGCCATAGCTCGCCATACTGCTGTGCGCAGTGGGAAAGCGGACGAGCGTGCCCCTGCGCCTGCCGTCCGTCGCCGGGACCGAGCCGCGCTAAGCCCTCCCAGTCCCGGCCTGGGAAACTCCCTGATGTTGCAACGGCCACAGGCAGGTTCTTGTTCTGCAGAGATGAGTCATGGACTTGAGGAGGAGCAGGTGGGAAACCGTCCCAGGAAATGTTGCTCCCTGCCCCCTACTCCCACTGCAGCCCCCCCCCCCCCCCCGGGGGGCTCCTCCTCCCCCCCCGCCCCCGGGGCCTGGGAATTGAGCCAGGGCTGATTCGAACCCTTGGTTCCCAGCTGGGCTCCCCCTGGCCTCTGTGCACCTTCACACCTTCCTGCTGTTCCCCTTTCCCACCAGCCCAAGTTCCCACGAGGTGTGGGGCTCCCTGTGCCCGCCCCTTTCTCCACACCCTCTGGCTTCCCTCCCAGCACCTCCACACCTCCCCGAATCCCCCAGCTCAGCCCCACGTCCAGGGAGGGCCTCACTGTGGGGCTGCTGACCACACAGCGTGGCAGGCCAGAGGGGCCTGGGGCTGCAGGGCGGGCAGGCCGCGTTCCCATGCCCCCCGCCACCGTGTGGGCCGGCCGGGTCACAGAAGCTCACAGCCCCCTTGTAAACGGGAAAGCAGGGCAGTAGTACCTCCTTGAGTTGTGAAAATTAAGTGCCTTAGTGGGCTGCCTCGTACCCTTTTTGGAAAGAGGTAATGAGCAAATAAAGGGAAGGAAAGGCAAACACATGCGTGAAGCCCTGGGAGGGCACGGCCCGCAGCAAGCACACGACAGACGTCGTTTGCTCCTGTGAGTAGAAGAGGCAAACGAGCATGCATCGAAGTGGTGCAATCTGAACGAAAGTGCCCGGTGCAATCTGAAAAAAATACAGAAAAAATTGTATCCGTGCCAATCTCCCGGTTGTGCTATGATACCATACCTGTATAAGATGTTACCACTGGGGGAAACTGAGTCAAGAGCACATGGGATCTGTCTGTATAACTGCATGCGAATCTACTAAAAAGCTTTCAGAAGAAAGTATCATTAAGTTCCACCACTTCATTTTACAGATGAGAAAACCAAGGCCCAGAGAGAGGCGGAGACTGGTCCATAGTGACCGGGTGAGCTGAGCTCTGGGCCAGGGCTCTGTCCAGACCCATGATGCCCACTAGGCTCTGGAGATAGGTCTCAGGCTGTGTGGTCCGAGATGAGGCCCGAGTGCCAGCGATCCCACCACCCCGGTGGCCTTGAGGGTGACAGAGGCTCCCTGTGGCTGGGATTGGATTTAAGGCAGTGAGCAGGAAGTTGGGCCTAATTTCCAGGAGCCTCAGAGGACAGAAAAGTGTCAGAAAGGGTCGGCTGGGGCTCAGCAAGTATGACGGGGAGACATTCCAGGGTTTTAGTTAACAGGGAGCTCAGTGTACTGTGGCTGCCAAAATATCTGCCAGCTCTAAAAGCTGTATTAATAGGAGTACAAGTGTCTAAAATGAGGGAGGCGATGTCCCATTAACTTAGAACAGGGCAGGGTCCAAGAGGAGTGCTGTGTCCAGCTCTTGGCTAATTCAGAAGAAAGGGATCAGGCTGGTGAGAGAACCCAACAGCACACCCTCTAGACACAGGGCCTGAGGGG